TCCTCTATATTTGCTCTATATTTAAAAACATTGAATATATATGTATTAGATATGTATACAGGGTTATAATTTAAATAACGACCACTAATCATATAGCGCTATTCCTGATTTTTATCAGGAATAGCGTTATATGATAATTAGTGGTCGTCATTTTAGTCACAGTCAAAAAGTCCTCTAAGTCTTTTTTCCAATTTTTAATTCTTAATGCAGTTATTCCCCGAGTTAAGCCAATCGGTGCCGTTCTTTAGACGGGTTTCTTATCAACAAGCCGCGGGCGTAGAAGTGTGAGTCAACATAGCGGCGCGGCGCACAGCGGACCGCTCACGCACACTACTACTCGCGCGCGGCTCACTGATATGCGCCCGTCTCTAAAGAACGACGCCGATTGACTTAACTCGGGGAATAATGTGCATTAAGAATTAAGAAAAGAGAAAAAGGATACATAAAGAATTGGCGCATACTGGATTAAGGATGTTCTATACAATCCCACACAAAAGTTACTGAAATATGAAATGATGAAATATGATTGATGATATTCTAGGCTTTGACAGATTAAGATACGCACCATATCGTGCTCGTATCGTGTAAAGGACTTAAATAATGCCAGTTGATATGATATTTGGCACTACAAATGAATATATTTGTATATTTTACAAGTTTTATTGACTGTCGGCAAAAAACTTTTGGACCTGAATTTTACTTGAAAAATAAAATTTTAATTATATATAATTTATACCTGTTAGCTGGTGGTTGATCTATCGCATTGATAGAATCTATAAGATCTTGAATGACGTTTGCAAATTCACTCCCGTTTCTTTCAATCCAATTTGATACGTTTTGATAAAATTCGTCTAAGTGTCTGTGTATGTTGTCTAAATTTACAGCTGCAACGAGATTGGGATCTAGCTGCATCGTTCTTGAACAACATAAAAAACATTTCACATGATAATTATAATTTTCGTCTTGCCATATCAGAAGCATCTTGAGAGACTACGAGTTTCTACGAGAACTACTTCGGAGGAAATAGACCGTCTTCTGCGAACGTTTTGCGACAACTGAAATTCTCTCTCTCGAAGAGAGGAAATTCACCTTCAAAATTTGTTACGAAAACTGATTAAAAAAATGTTGACAAATTTTTTAGTAGACTTGAGCCACGAGGTAACGAGCTTGCTGTCTCCGCTGTTCGCAGGTTTAGACCGGTAAAAATCGTTAATAATCGGTATTAAATAGTTTCTAAACCACGGTCGCGATTGTTCGGGATACTGCAAAATATTCCTTTCGATATTTTTAATTAACTCGATAACAGTTCTCTCTTTGTTACTGTTAGTGAGAGGTAAGCCGAACCTCTCTCCTAATTGCAACAGCAGTTGGACCTCAGGCGGAAAAGTAATATTGCTGAGATTGACGAACCATTCGTTGTGAATCGTCTCTAGACTCGACTCGATTGGAAACTGTTCCGGAGAAACATGTATGCAGTATCGTTCTTCTAGAGGTGACAATTTATTCGGCTCAGACGAAACTCTGTCCTTAATTTCAGTGACCCGCTCTGTTTCATGCCTCGTTCGGAAATGGAAGTAAGAGATTGGTTTCACATTCTTTATATTTTATTACCCACTGAAGATGGCTCAATGCGGAGCCGAAACGTTTGGGTGACAATGATTATTGTTTAAATATATGTAATTTTAGCACTAATTTTGTGCAAGGCTCACTTGCCCTTCTTTGGATACTTCTTAATATATAAAAAATATTTTTTCAGATTTTTCGACTCTCTCCCCGATTGTTAAAAAAATTGTTGAAAAGTTTATTGTTAAATAAACAATAGAAAACAAAACATTTTTGGAATCTTCATTTTATTCTCGTAAACTAGAACATTTTTCGCGTATTTTGAAAAAAAAAGCAGTTAGCTAGCATTATTAGTAACAGAGCTATGAATTTTTAAAAATAAAGTAGTCTAATTTTTAATTGTTTATATCTCGATTAATTTTGCAATAAGAAAAAAATCCTTTGGCACAAAATTCTCTCTCCCAAAGTACTA